TCACACCAAGAATTCTCAAAGTTAAAGCAATTACCTCTTTGGATATGTAAAAACAATATATTAACAAAGTGCAGAAAAGGAGGCATTCAGCAGAGCAAAACCAAGTGGTAGGCTTGTTGTCCTAGAAAGAGGACAGAGAAACACCTTCTAGAGTTCATAGTTTCAGGAAATAGAGCTGCCTCGGCCAAAAAGACATTCAGACGTGGGTTGGGTATTCTTTTTTCTTAGCTTTCATCTGCTAACAGCTTTATTATACACTTGGCTTCACATACAAAGTTAGAACGGTAATTACATTTAAAACCAACACATTAAAAATTTTAAACATCATATTATAGATATACACTCTCTGACATTCCAGAAGGTATTTAAGCAGGTAACAGATATTGCTACCCATCTTTTTTATCTAACTATATTCTTATTTTCTTCACCACAATTTTCAGGACCGGAAGCATCTGCCTGGCCAGGTAGATGGGCAAAGTGAATATCTTTACCAAAGTTCCCATTATTTCATTTTCTGAATATAAGACCTTAAGTTACAGTTTTCTCCTCATCAGTATAACATAATGGTTAAAAGCATAGGTATTAAAATAAGCTGAAGCTGGATTCAAATCCCTGATCTGTTATATACTAGCAGTTATGATCTTGGGTAAGTTATCATTTTTCCCATTTATAAAAATAGAGATGTTACCTATATCTCATTAAATCCCTGAAACTTTAAAGTTTAATTATAAGGTCTTTGGATAAAACTTTCTTACCTTAAGTGGCAATCTGTCTTTACTGTTCTTGAAGTCATGATCAAATACAACAGCAGCCAGCACACGAGAAGACTTATTTTCATACTTAACGTAATTCTCAAAATCTTCTACCGAAGAAAAGCCTCGAACTGTAGAAGAAAAAATCTGAGTCAGTCTTCATATAAATGCAAAATGTCTAATGATTATTCCTATCTTCCTATCTGTACCACGAATATCATAATTCTGTCATAATATTGTAAGTTTTAAAGCATTATTACTCAAACATTGATATCACAGATGTCCTAATGAATATTTACTGTACACAAAAATTCCTCTGTATTATAAAAGTTGTATCACACTAGGAATAATATTTAATCATTAAAATAACTGCCTATTAAGGTAAACTGAGATGGGGGAAGTTTTCATTGTGTTTAGAAGTTTTGATTTAAAGAAAAAAATGAGATGAGAAATGAGAAGTGACAAAATTATTTCTGTGGAAAGTATGATATTTCAGAAAATAACCTAAAGTTGTTGAATAAAACTACATTTTCAATCACATTTTTCATTCGTAAATGAATCTGTATGAAATTTGGAAATACACTCTCACAAAAACCATTCACAAATAATCACCTACATACAAGTAACTTAAATGACTGGAGTTTTCTCTTAGGAATTAAATTATTTCTAATGTCAACAAGATATCAAAGTTTTTGATAGCTTCTTTATCAGGAAATGTAAACATGCATTGAAAGAAATAAGATTTTTAAAACAGTATGTACTGTGTTCAAGAATTTAAAGAAATTCATACTGTAAATTTACCTTTTCTGTAAAAATTTACATATACAGTCAATGCAATTCTAATGAAACCCAAACTGAATTTTTATAGAAATTTAGTCTGATCCTAAAATTTATAAAGAAGTACACAGGTGAAGAGCAAGGTGGGAAGATTTCCTTTTTACAGGCTATCAAGACATGATAAAACTATAGTAATTAAGATAGTATCAGATTGACACAGTACATACAAATAGACCAATATAACATAATAGAGAACCCATAAATACATTAATGAATATACAACTGACTTACAATAAAAATGGTAATATAAAAACCATTATTCCTAATTTAAATTGCAGTTGGGAAGAATTTTACAATATCTTTTTTTATTGAAGTATATTTGATTTACTATATTTCAGGTATACAGAAAAGTTATGCAGTTATATATATATATATACACATACACACACATATATTCTTTCTAAGATTCTTTTCCATTCTAGATTATTACAAGATATTGACTATAGTTCCCTGTGTTATACAATAGGTCCTTGTTGTTGACCTATTTTATATATAGTGTGCATCGGTTAATCCCAAAGTCCCAATTTATTCCTCCCTCCCTTCTCACCTTTGTTAATCATAAACTTGTTTTCTATGTCTGTGAATCTATGTCTGCTTTGGGTAAACAGGTAAATCTGTAAATAGGTTCACTTGTATCATATTTTTAGATTCCACATGTAAGTAATCTTTTATGATATTTGTCTTTCTTTGTCTGATTTACTTCACTTATTATGATAATCTCTAGGTCCATCCATGTTGTTAAAAATGGCGTTATTTCATTCTTTTTATTTCTGAGTAGTATTCCACTGTATGTATACCAAAACTATCTTTATTCAGTTATCTTTCAATGGACATTTAGGTTGCTTCCATGTCTTGGCTATTGTAAATAGTGTCGCTGTGAACACTGGAATGCATGCATCTTTTCACAACAGTTTTCATCTTTTCTGGATATATGCCCAGGAGTAGAATTGCTGGGTTATATTGTAACTCTATTTTTAGTTTTTTATGAAAACTCCATACTGTTCTCCATAGTAGCTGCACCCATTTACATTCCCATCAACAGCACAGAAGTGTTCCCTTTTCTCTACACCCTCTCCAGCATTACTTTTAGACTTTTTGATGATGGTCATTCTAACCTGTGTGAGGTGATACCTCATTGTAGTTTTGATTTGCATTTCTCTAATAATTAGCAATATTAAGCATCTTTTCATGTGCCTGTTGAGCAGCTGTATGTATTCTTCGGAGAAATATCTATTTAGGTCTTCTACCCTTTTTTTTTGATTGGGTTGTTTGGGATTTTTCTGATGTTGAGTTGCATAAGCTGTTTATTTTGGAAATTAAGCTCTTGTTGGTCACATGTTTTGCAAATATTTTCTTCCATTCTGTACGTTGTCTTTTTGTTTTGTATATAGTTTCTTTTGCTGGGCAAAAGATTTTATGTTTAATTAAGTCCCATTTGTTTATTTTGCTTTTGTTTTCATTACTCTAGGAAACCAACCCAGAAAAATTGCTGCAATTTATGTCAAAGAGTGTTCTGCCTGTTTTTAATTAGGAGTTTTATAGTATCCAACCTTACATTTAGGTCTTAATTCATTTTGAGTTTATTTTTGTATGTAGTGTTAGAGACTGTTCTAATTTCATTCTTTTATATGTAGCTGTCCAACTTTCCCAGCACCATTTATTTAAGAGACTGTCTTTTCTCCATGGTATATTCTTGCTTCCTTTGTCATAGATTAATTAACCATAAATGTGTAGGTTTCGTTATTTTTTAAAAAGCTATTATAATGTGATGAATTTTCATTAAAAAACTTTTCTTACAAGATTGAACTTTGTTATTTTGAGATGCAATTCTCTCAGTTACAGATTTTAAAAACACACCTTTTTGATAGGCTAAGTATAAAAGAATAAAGAATAAAAATAATATTCCCTGGGACTTCACATAAGACAAATATCAAGTAATAAATTATATTGTAAAATGTAAGTTTCCTTCAAAAACTAAATATTAATAAATTTCATAATACGTATACCTCTAACTTAAAATTGAATATACTTTTTTCAATATTCACAAAGGAGGAAAATAAATGTTTGGCCTGACAATTATTTCTAAAGAAAAGAAAGGAATACAGAGTAGAAGAGAAAGAGCAGTCTGGTACATAAACAATATGAAGTCAAATGAATATTCAAATGGGAATTAATTAAACCTTATACAATTAAAGACAGAGATTTACTTCAGCTCTAAAGACACATACAGGCTCAAAGTGAAAGAATGTAAGATGATATTTCAACTGAACAGAAACCAAAAGAAGGCAGCATAGCCATACTTGTATCAGACAAAATAGACTTCAAGTCAAAAAGAGTAATAAGAGACAAAGATGGTCATTATATAATAATAAAGGGGTCAATACATTAAAAAGACACAACAATTGTAAATACATACACTTCCAACACCCAAGCACCTAAACACATTAAGCAAATACTAACAGATCTTAAGGGAGAAATAGACAACAATACAATATTAGTAGGGGCTATCAGCAATGGATAGATCATTCAGACAGAAAATCAACAAGGAAATGTTGGAATTGAAAAATACCTCAGAACAAATGAACTTAATAGACATTTACAGAATATTCCATCCAACAGCAGCAAAATACACATTCTTCTTAAGTGCCTGCAGAATACTTTCCAGGATAGATAATATGGTAGGCCGCAAAACATATCTTAGCAAATGTAGTAAGACTGAAATCATACCAACTATATTCTCTGACTACAATTTCATGGTATGAAATTAGAAATCAATAAAAAAAGGAAAGTGTGCAGACCTACAAATATATATAAACTAAACAACGTACTTCTAAACAACAAATGGGTCAAAAAAGAAATCAACAGAGAAATTAAAAATTATCTTGAAACAAATAAAAATGAAAATACAACATAACAAATTTTGTGGGATGCAGTAAAAGTAGTACTGAGAGGAAATTTCATAGCAATAAATACATATATTAAGAAATTAGAAATATTTCAAATAAACAACCAAAGTTTACACTTAAGGAACTGGAAAAAGAGAAACAAATTAGGCCCAAAGTGAACAGAAGGAAGGAAATAATAAAGATCAGAGCAGGAATAAATGAAATAGAGACCAGAAAAACAATATAAATGATCAACAAAACTAACAGTTGGTTTTTCAACAAGGTAAACAAAACTGACAACCCTTGGCTAGACTAAGAAGAAGAGAGAGGACCCAAATAACTAAAATTAGAAATAAAAGATGAAATGTTACATCTGAAAATGCAGAAATGCAAAGGATCATAAGAGACTACTGTGAACAATTATATTCCAACAAATTATATAATCTAGAATAAATGGATACATTTCTAGAGACACATAACCTACCAAGACTGAATCAGGAAGAAATAGAAAACATGAACAGACCAATAACAAATCAAGTGAATGAAATGATAATCAAAAGAATTCCCAACACAGAAACTTCAGGACCAGACAGTTTCACTGGCGAATGCTACCAATGTTTAAAGAATAATTAACACCAATTTGCAACATAACTCCACAAAATAAAGGTCATCTATGACAGAACTAAGCTATACTCAATGGAGAAAAATTTAAACAAGACAAAGATGTCTATTCTCACCATTCCTATTCAATACAGTACTGGAATTCCTAGCTAGAGCAATTAGGTAAGACAGATTAAAAAAAAAAATCCAAATCAGAAAGGAAGAAGTAAAACTGTCACTATTTGCTGATGATATGATCTTATATATAAAAAATCTGGGAATTATTTTTAAAACTGTTGGAATTAATCAATGATTTCTATAAAGTGGCAAGATACAAAATTAACATACAGAAATCAGTTGTATTCCTTCACACTAATGATGAAGCATTGGAAAAAGAAATAAATAAAACTATCCTAACACAATAACATCAAAAACAACAAAATATTTAGAAGTAAATTTAACCAAGGAAGTAAAATATCTACACAATGAAAACCACAAGAGTTTGCTGAAAGAAACTGAAGACACAAACAAATGGAAAGACATCCCATGTCCATGGATTAGAAAAATATTGTTCAAATGGCCACACTACCCAAAGCCATCCACAGATTCAATGCAATCCCCATCAAAATATCAAAAGCATTCTTCACAGAAATAGAAGAAACAATCCTAAGATTTCTGTGGAACCACAAAAGACCCCAAGTAGCCAAAGCAATCCTGAAAAATGGGGGAAAAAAGCTGAAGGTATCACAAGTCCTGATTTTAAAGTATACTACAAAGCCATAATAATAAAAACTATTTTTTATATAGTACTGTACTGGCACAAAAGAGACACATTGACCAACTGAACAGAAAGAGAGAGTCCAGAATTAAATCCCAGCATATATAGCCAATTAACATTCAACAAGAGAGACAAGAACACCCAATGGGGAAAGGATAGTCTCTTCAACAAAGGGTGCTGGAAAAACTGGAGAAACACACAGAACAATGAAACTGAACCTCTGTCTTATACTGCTCACAAAAATTAACTAGAAATGAATCAAAGACTTAAACATTAAACTCTTAAAGAAAATTTAGGGAAGAGCTGAGCGATATCAGTCTTGGCAACAATTTTTTTTTTTTGGATGTGACACCAAAAGTGCAAACAGCATTAGCAGAAATCAACAAATGGGACAAACATCTAAATCAAAAATGTCTTCACAGTAAAAGAAACAATTAAGAAAATGAAAAAACAGCCTACAGAATGGGAGAAAAATTTTGCAGACCATATATCAGGTAAGGGGTTAATAGACAAGATATATAAAATATATATATATATAAAATCACAAAAAATATGGTTAGAAGGTGGGCAAAGGAACTAAATAGACATTTTTCCAAAGAGGACGTGAAAATGCCAACAGGCACATTAAGAAGATGACCAACATCACTAATCATCAGGAAAATGCAAATAAGAACTGAGATATTACCTCATAACTGCTGGAATGGCTATTATCAAAAAGACAAGAGACAATACATGCTGGGGAGGCTGGAGTAAAAAGAGAATTTTTATACATTGTTGGTGGGAATGGAAATTAGTCCAACCACTACGACAAACAATATAGACATTCCTCAAAATATCAAAAATAGACCTATCACATGATTCAGTAATTCCACATCTGGACATACACCCAAAGGAAATGAAAACAGGATTATGATGAGATATGTGCACTCCCACATATATATAGTGTACCATTCACAATAGCCAAGGTATGGAAACAGCCCAAATGCCTATCAAAAGATGAATGGATTTTTATGTGGTACATGTACACAATGGAATATTATTTAGCCATAAGAAAGGAGGATATCCTGTAATTTGTGACAACATGAATGGACCTTGAGCACATTATGCTAAGCTATCAGATAAGTCAAAGAAAGACAAGCACTGTATGATGTCACTTATACTGGGAATTTCAAAAAGTCAAGCTTGTGTTTTAAAAAAAACAGTAAAATGGGAAAAACATATCATTGTTATTAAATACAAAACAAGAACAACAAAAACAGTCTAATGAAGTGTTCTAGGTCAGGGGTCAGCCAATTACAGTCTGTAAAGGTCAAATCTACCCCACAGTCTGTTTGATATAGGTCTGTAATCTATGAATGGTTTTTACATTTCTGAAGCATTCTTTTAAAAAAAATATTTGATAGAAACCTAATAGCCCACAAAACTTAAATACTTACTATCTGGCCCCTTACAGAAAAGTTTGCCAAACCCAATGCAGATTTATAAATCTCTAGGTGGATCCTGGATTACAGAAAGGAAAAAAGCTCTAAAGAACCTTATTAGGGTAACTAGGGAAATATAAATATCGACTGCATATTAGATAACTTCATTGTATCAATTTAAAAACTCGTAGGTGTGATAATTACAAAGGTTTTGTTGGAGAATATCCTAATTCTAAGGAAATACATTAAGTGCTTGAAGATGAATTGTCATCATGAATACAACTTATTCTCAACAGTTCAGAAAAAAATCCAGCAACGTTATATATATTCTTACATGTTTGATATATACATATTACTTATATATGTGTGTATATATACATATGGAGAGAGACAGAGCAAGAGAGATAATGATAAAGCAAATGCGACGACTGTTACTTGGTGACTTGTAGCATTTTCTGCATTTTCTCTATATGTTTGAAATTGTTCAAAGTCAAATGTGTGTGTGAGGGGGGTCCTTCTGGTTCATAGTGCTAAAGATAAAATACTATATAATCCTCAAGAATTTTTTGCCAAAGGTTATCAGGAATAATCACTCTGTATTGATTAAAGCAAGTTATAAATACCAACATCAGAGTTTTACCCAACACCAGGTTTCTAATGACAAACTACCATAATTCTAGTGGATATACTGTACTATACTGCATTACTCTATGCTATGCTATACTGTTCAGATACTATACTATCTGAACTTGAAATGATAGATTGAAAGCTTCCAGTGAACAAGTTTTTCTTCTAAGTTATAATTCTTCAGAATAGCACTAAAAACTGAATGTGGTAAACAAGTTTATACTGTACAGCACAGGGAACTATATTCAGTATCTTGTAGTAGCTTTCAGTGAAAAAGAATATGAAAATGAATATATGTATATTCATGTATGACTGAAGCATTGTGCTGTACACCAGAAATGGACACATTGTAAACTGACTATACCTCAACAAAAAAATGTTTTTTTAATTTTTTAAAAGTTACCCAATCAAAATCAACACACACACACACACACACACACACACACACAAAACTGAATGTGGGAGTTTTCCAAATAAAGACTCCTACACTTATCTTCTCATAGCCACTAGATGATTTTGCTAAGGAATTTGCTTCGACAGAAACTAAAAAAAGTATGAGACCTAATCAAGAGGAGGAAAGTTTCTCAGCTTCATTCCCTCTAAATTAGGATTTTATAATAAGACATTTATTTTCCATGCCACCCTGGACCTTCAACCCATCAAACCTCTACTCTGGTCTTCAGGCACACTCTCTCATGATGGCCTCAATATGACAGAATGACAATGCTTCTTATACTTCTCCACTGATAGACTCACAGTAGCAAAAGATAAGAAACAGCAGCCTGTCCACATCTTCTACTTCACATACAGTCAAGTAGAAGGATTATTTCATTGTTCTACTCCACTCTTTCAGCGATCTTGAAAGATAACTAGCGAAAAAATAACTTGAAATAAGTACTTGTCTGCTTCTGTGTTTATATTAATTCATTACATTCACATCCAATGACCTTCTACTTCCTATACCAGACAGACTGTGGGGTAGATTTAACCTTCGCAGACTGTAATAGGCTGACCCCTGACCTAGAACACTTCCTTAGACTGTTTTTGTTGTTGTTGTTTCATATTTAATAACCGTGATTTTTTTCCCATTTTACTCTGTTTTTTTTAAAACACATACCTTAAAGGTAACTTAAATCAGCCCATCAGAAGCACTAAAGTTCTTTGGAGATTCATAGACTATATTTTTAAAATTCATGGGAATTTTGCATTAAGTTACATAAATATAACATTTTCATTTTCAAAGATGGTTTTTTTAAGATGGCAAAGTAAATATGTATTATCAACCTTTTCCTCATTTCACAACACTCTTAAAATGAGAAAAATAATATACACGTATGTAAAAGCATGAGACAAGGCTGGAGGGATTCTTATCAAATTTCTGACAGTGTGTTTAACTGTGGGAGACAAAGAAGAGAAACTAGGTGCAGAGTAAGGACAGTGTAAGGAGATAAGGATGTTTTTGGTGTAATTCTACATTGTTTTAATCTTCTTTTCAAATGCACTTATATATTACACTGAAGTCATATTTTTATAAAATGTTTAAAATTCATGACCTCAAGTAAAGTTTATGCATCCAGGAAAAAACTACCAAATTCACCCTGAGGCTTTGTGTCCCCTTGGCACACAACCAGGTACTTACCCTAGTTTTAGAAGCACAATCAGAGACAAAGAAGATTTAGAATTACATAACTCAGTCATCTAATTTTAAATACTGTATTTTGTTTATGATTATACAAAGAATATGTTGATATTATTTGACAAAGTCCATAATGTTATATTTAAGACATTAATGCACTAGTTGTGAAAGTCACTGAAACATGCTTCTCCTAAAACAAATTAATAATTATTCTACAAAAAACATTTTAGACATCACAATTTCAAACCTTCAAGGCTGGCGTTTAAATCTTTTTGCACCATCTCAGTAATAGTTTTTGCCGCATCACTTTCAGAAGGCACATAAACCAATTCATACTTATTTTTCCCATCAGTGAGGAAAGCAGGCAACCTATTCAAGGGAAGAGGATGGAAAAGAATCGCCTCTAGAAATTCCTTTTTGTAATCTCTGCGATGAAGCAAAATCAATGCAGAGAACATCAGTGTCATGAAGATTTCTACACATAAAGAAATTATCTTCCGCTTCTGTAAGGGAAACAAAATAGTGTTAATTAACCTTACTGTATTATATGTATGTGCATACATGTGTATATTTATACCCTTAAGTGTAAACATGTATACAATACAAACATTATTCAGCTTCATTCCACAACATGAGTGGTTCTCTGGATTGTCTTTTTCACCCTTTTCCACATTTCATTATTCACTCTGTTCATTTACTCTGTTAGTAGTCTTCACATTTAGAATGCTATCCTCAGCCATGGAACAAAATACCCATAAACAAAAATGAAATAAAGGAGCTATTAAATTTTTCCCCTTTCAGTTTCATTAACCTTTACTGTCATTTCTCACAGATACCTTCACTTACCTTTAACATGAAATTTTTCCAGAGAAGGGCTGCAAACTGGTTAAGCCACAACAAATCCATTTTACCACAAAGAATGGAAGTTCAAATCTAAGAAGGAAGTAAAGATTTTTAAAATTTAGGTTACCTGCCAAAATGTTAAATTTTAGTCAAGTAGAAGGATTACCTCATTGTTCTACCCTATGCTTTCATTGATCTTGAAAGATAACTACAAAAAAAAAACTTGAAATAAGTACTTATCTGCTTCTGTTTTTATATTAATTCACTACATTCACATCCAATGACTTTCTAATATGGATGAACATACTAGGCAAGAGAGATGCAAAGATCAATAAGACACAGTCCCATTTTCACAAAGAAGGATGTAAACTGTAAATGCAGAATATCAGCCATTATTTTGATAGGTTCTGAGAGAAACTCTCACAAATTATAATGCTGAATACTTAGTATTTATTTAATACCTACCCTGTGCCACATTCTATACTAAGCTTTAGGTGGATTCAAAACAGTCATGAATTTTTTTCCTCACAGTGTGGACAGTAGGGCACAGTAATTAAAAATGTGGGATCTGAAGTAAGGTTTCCTGTGTTCAAATCTTAACTCTCTCACAGGCCATGTAATTCTGAGCAAAATAATTAACCTATGGCTACTTATCACCCATAAAAATCAGAAAAATTATAGTTCTTATCTTATAAGATTTTTTCCCCTGGGGTCATCTGCTAATATGGAGGAGGTACTGAAAGGCTATGCAATTTCAATTATGATAAAATATACATACCATAAAACTTACCATTTTAACCATTTTTAAGTGCACAATTCAGTGGCAGCAATCACATTCGCATTATTGTGCAATCATCATTATCCTCCATCCCTAGAACTTTTCCTCTGCCCAGTTCTGTACTCCTTAAATAATAACTCGCTATACCCTCCTCCCCCAGTCACTGGCAGCCACCATTCTACTTTCTGCATCTGGGAATTTGACTACTGTAGGTACGTCATATGAGTGGAAACACTTATCTGTGTGACAGTAATCTTTTGTGGCTGGCCTATTTCACTAGGCATAATACGTCTTCAAGTTTCACCCATGTTGCAATATGTGTCAGAATCTCCTTCCTGCGCATCACTTTTAACAGCCTCGTTGGGCTGTCAAAGTCAGAACTGACTTTAAGAGAATCAAGGAGGGACAAAGAGGTGCTGTATATTTCATTAATGCTAAAAGGTGCTACTTCCTTTAAGTGAGTGAACCAGAAAGAGTAGCCAGGGAATGCAAGGAACAACACCAGAACTGAAGTACTTCTGCAATTTCAGTGGCAGGCAACCAAGGAAGTGGGTGACTTCTGGACAGAAGACAAACAAAAAAGAGTGCCTTGGAGAAACCGGAGGTACTGGGGAGACAGAGGAACGAGACTACAGCCTTGATCTGAGCCTTGATCTTTATCTAAGTGGATCTGATCCTAGTTAGTGTGATAATCACTTTGATTTCTGAGCAGACGGACTCTTCCCAGGCCCCAGAAGGATCCAACTAGAACAGCAAAATCTTTAAAAACTGAACTGATGTTGCAACCACAGCCTCCAGAGATGGGATGGAACCTGTGGCTTAACCCTAACCAAGAAAGGTTGCCAGATAAAATATACGGTGCTAGTGAAATCTGAATTTCAGATAAATTACATTTTTTTGTTTGGGACATACTTATACTAAAACATTATTCACAATTTATCTAAAATTCACATTTAACTGGGTGTTTTTTGTATTTTACTTGCTAAATCTGGCAATCCTAAAACCAGGTCAATTGCCTACTAAACTGAAGTACTGACATTCTCCATAGAATCTTAAACAGAACCTAGAGTCTCACAGTTTAATACACAAAATACCCAGAATACAACCCCAAATTATTCAACTTACAAGAAGGCACAAACTCTCATCTTGCATAGGAAAAGACAATCAACAGATATTAATGATGTCATGGCACAGATGTTGCAATTATCCAAAAAAAAAAACTTTAAAGCAGCTATTAAAATGCTCAAGCGGGCAATCATAGTCTTGAAATAAAATTTAAAATAGAAAGTATCAACAAAAAAATAAAAGATACAAAGAAAAATCAAATGGAAATTTTAGAACCCAAAGTTACCAAAATAAAACATTCACTGGATAAACTCAACAGTGGAATGAAGATGACATAGAAGAGCCACTAAACTTGAAGATAAATCAGTAGAAATTATAGAAGATGAAGAAAATGGGACAGGAAGGATTGAAAAAAATGAACAGAGCCTCAGAAATATGTAGGATAACAAAAACCAAACCTAGCATACAATTCGTTAGAATCCTAGACAACAGGAGAAAGTGTGAAGCTGAAAAATATATAAGAAATAATGGTTGAAATTTTCCAAATGTGGCAGAAGACACAAACCAACAGATAAAAGAAACTGAGTAAACCCCAAACAAGATAGACCAAAGGAAATTATGTCTAAACATTCACAGTCAAATCACAAAAGACCCACAATTGCCAAAGCAATACTGAACAAAAAGAATGAAGCTGGAGGCATAACCCTCCCAGACTTCAGACAATACCATAAAGCTACAAAACAAAGTGGTATTGGCACAGAAACAGACATGTGGATCAGTGGAACAGAATAGAGAGCCCAGAGACAAACCCCCATGCCTACAGTCAACTGATCTTCAACAAAGGAGGCAAGAATATACAGTGGAAAAAAGTCTCTTCGGCAAGTGATGTTGAGAAACCTGGATAGCTACATGTAAATCAATGCAATTAGAACATTCCCTCACACTCTACACAAAAATAAACTCAAAATGACTTAAAGCAGCATTACTGACAATAGCCAAGACAGATGTCCATCAACAGATGACTGGATAAAGAAGTTGTGGTATACCTACAAACAATAGAATACTACTCAGCTATAACACAGAACTAAAAATGCCATTTGCAACTGCATGGATGGACATGGAGATTGTCATAGTAAGTGAAGCAAGCCAGAAAGAGAAAGAAAAATGCCATATGATACGACTGATATGTGGAATCTAAAAAATGACACAAATGAACTTATTTACAAAACAAATACAGACCACAGACATAGAAAACAAACCTATGATTACTGGGGGAAAGGGATAAGTTGGGAGTTTGTGATTTGCAGATACTAACTACAATATGTAAAATAGATAAACAACAAGGTGCTACTGTGTGGCACAGGGAAATATATTCAATATCCCATAGTAACCTATAGTGAAAAAGAATATGAAAAAATATGTGTGTGTAATTGATTCACTATGCTGTATACCAGAAACTAACACAACATTGAAAATTGACTATGCTTCAATTTAAAGAAGAAACAAATAAATGAAAAGCTATCCTGTGTTCATGGATCAGAGAAGCTATTGTTAAAATGTGCGTACTACCAAAAGCCATCTATAGATTCAGTGCAACCTCCAGATTACCACCGGCTAAGTGGTGAGGGAGATGGAGAGAGGTTGGCAAAAGAGTACAAACTTTAAAACATGGTGACTATAGTTGATAATATTGTATTGTATAACTGCAACTTGCTAACAGAGTAAATTGTAAGTGTTCTTACCAAAAAAAAGGGAGAGGGACAACTTGTGAGGTGATTGATATGTTAATGAACTTGAATATGGGAATTCCTTCACAATGTATTCATGTATCAGGTCATCATGTCGTACACTTTAAATATACCACAATTTTATTTGTCAATTATACGTCAATAAAGCTGGGGGGAAAAGAAATTAAAGAAGACCTAAATAAATGAAGACATCCCACGTGTATGAAAAATTCAGTATTGTTAATACGGCAATACTCCCCAAATTTATGTAGAGTCAATCAACTCCCAACTACTGTTTTTGCAGAAATGAACACACTGTTCCTAAAATTCATATGGTATTGCAAGGAACCCTGGATAGCCAACACAATACTGAAAAAAGAAGAACAAAATTTAAGGTCTCACATTTCCTGATTTTCAATACTTTCTACAAAGAGACAGTAATCAAAGCAGTACAGTATTGACATTAGCACAGATATATAAATCAAATGGAATAGAACTGAGCATCTAGAAATAAAGCCATACATCTATGGTCAATTGATTTTCAACAAAAAATAATGGTCTTTTAAGCAAACAGCGCTTAAACAACTAAGTAGGCATGAGACAGGAAGATAAGAGGACCATCATTTTGGAAAAGGACCAAGGGAACAGCCTTGAGCAAGCAGGCTTCACAGGCCCAGTAAAACAAAGCGCCTAAAGACTTGGGCCTCTGAGACAATACCCAGAGACCCACAGGAGTAAAAGATAAACTCTGTCTCTGTTCCACTGATGTATGTACATAGTTTCTAAAGGACAAAAGTGGGACCATAAATCTGCCACCTAGCAGAATCACCAAACTCCCAATTCCCTGAAAGATATACATAAAAGGCCTGACACACATTCTCAATTTGTTTTTGTAGGAAGCAGACCCCTACCAGATGAAAACTGCTGACTGCAAGTGTGTATACTCCATACCAGTTGAAACCAGAAGACTGATTGATGATACTTGAAATTTCACCCTGATGTCAACCAATCTAGGAACTGAGCTCAAGCTGATCAGGCACCCTGTGGCCCTCTCCCTCACACTGCCTTTAAAACCTGTTCCCTGAAAGTTCTCAGGGAGTTGGCACTCTTTTCCACCTTCTCCCCTGGGCATAATCTATCCTTTTAAGAAAAAGCTTTGCTTGCCTAAGAACTTTGTGGGAGTGATATTAATTTCTATGGTATTGCTGTCCAAGAATCTGGAGAGGGCCCAGTAACAGGCATAGGCAAAAAAATAAAGCTGGACTCTTACCTCACACCATGTACAAAAATTAATTCAAAAAGATCAAACACCAAAAGTAAGAGCTGAAAAAATAAACTCTTAGAAGAAAACATAGGGAAATCTTCATTAACCTGGATTCAGCAATGCATTCTTAGATATGACACCAAAAGAAAATATAGACTAATTGGGCTTCATCAAGTCAAAAACTTTTGAGCATCCAAGGACACTGTCAAGAAAGTGAAAAGATAAGTCACAGAATGGAATAAAATATTTTTGAATTACGTATCTGATAAGGATTTCATATTATGAACATATAAAGAACACTTATAATGCAACGACAAGACGACAAACCAGTAAAATAATGGGCAAAAAGATCTACAGACATTTCTCCAAAGAAATTATGCAAATGGCCAAAGAGCACATGAAAGGATGCTCAACATAATTAGACATTAGGGAAATTTAAATCAAAACCACAATAAGAAACACTTACCCACCAAGAGGGCTATAATTTCTAAATTAAAAAAAAATTTAAACAGAAAATAAGCATTGGTGAGAATGTAGAATACTGGAAACCCTCACACACTGATGGTGGGAATGTAAAGTAGTATGGCAGCCATGGAAAAACTTGGTTAAACATGTAATTACCATATGACCCTGCAATTCCACTCCTAGGTTTCTAGGAGTAGAAAATATATGTCTGGTGATCACTGTGTAATGTATCCAGATGTTGAGCTATACTGCTATATACCGGAAACTTATATAATAAAAGTGTTTATTCAAAAAAAAAAAAAAAGAAAACATATGTCAACACAAAAACACATACACTAATGTTCATGGTAGCATTATTCATAATAGCCAAAAAGTGGAAACAATCCAGAAGTCCATGAGAATGGAAAAACAAAATGTGGTATATCTGGAGTATAATATACGACACCAACACTCATGGATCTTGAAAATAAGCTAAGTGGAAGAAGCCAAACACAAAAGACCACATACTATATGATTCTATTTGTATGTGGTGGGAAAAATTTTCACATATTGAGTTATGAGGAAGTCATTCTAGTTTATACACGATTTAACTTGAACTTTATGCTAACTATAACAGCCTGTTTGTAGCCTACCAAACCTACATGGTACATCTGCTTTAATCATTAAAGAAAAGGTTGCACTGACCTGAAATAAAGAGTGGCCATGTTAAAAATAAAGATTAAACGCCTCCCTTCATGGGATGTCAATGCTGGTACTTCTTGGTTGATAAAGACTCCCTTTCCAGGTGCCAGGACCCTATTAACTCACTGTATACATGCTGAGCAGTTTTTTAATTTTGTTTTTTGGGTTCTTTTTGAAATCTTGAAGGAATGTGTCCCTGACTTATTTGATGATCTTTGTTCTGACACGATATAAAACCATCCTTCTCCCAGAACAGTTCCTCAGAGTAATTTGAGAGGGTGTCTCCAAGGCTACAGTTGTCAGTTTGGCTGAAATAATACTCTTTATTCCTATTATAAATTGGTTTATTGATTATTTCCATCCACAAAAGAAATGCCCAGAATCTGCCAATTCGTACAGACGGGAGGTAGATTTGTGGTTGCCACAGGCTGGAAATAGGGGAATGGGGAGTGACTGCTCATGAGTACAGACAGGGTTTATATAAAACAAGGTAAAAATGTTCTGAAACTAACACACGTTGTAAATCAACTATATTTCAATAAAAATGTTCCGGAATTAGATAGCAGTGATTATTTCACAACATTGTGCATGTAATAAAAGCCACTGAATTCTAATACTTTAAAATGGTAAAAACTGGTGAGTTTTATCTCAATTTTTTAAAAGAAGAAAAATCTTAAAGGCGCGCAAAATTATATTCCTACATTATAGCTAAGATTCAGAGGTCAACTCACTTGTCTAAAGTCAAATTAAAACCAAAGTTGACTGAACCTCCCAAAACCTTCTAAGCACTAAGTTACTACCAAAATAAAAAATAAATAAATGAATAAAAACAGTTAAAAGTCAACTTTAAGTCCCTAGTGGGTTTTTACGTGTTTGTGCTGGGGGTGGGGAGGGGGAGCGCGCTTTGGGTTGACCTCCGGCGAGGTAGGCGGAGCATCCTGAGGAGAAGAAGTTAGGGAGGAGGAGGACGGCAAGGAGGTCCACTCACGGCTCAGGCCTCGGCAGCCGCCTCCGTCCTGCCTCTAAGGGGCGCCAATCCACTCAGCACGGCTCCTCTTTCCAACGCTCTCCTCAACCGCCCCGCTGCGCACGGCGGCAGGACGGTTTCGCGCGCGGACTCCCTCAAAGGCGCGGCTGAGCGCCGTGCGCCGCCTACCGCAGCGCCCAG